GGGGGGGGGGGGACCAAACCCAGCCAAAACCTTCATCCGCTGTGTCTGAATGAGATGGTGGGTGGGGAAGCAGCCAAGTGTTCTCCAGGAAGGAGGCGCAGGGAGGGGAGGGTTGCCTGGGATTTGCAGGCTGGGATCTGGGCTGTGCAAGGCGTCTGAGGCTCTGAGTTGCCTGTAGAGCAGCGCTGGGTGGAAGAAATAGCCCTGTGGTGATGTTGCCACAGGAGCGGAGCAGCGGCGGGCAATCGGATGCCTCCTTCCCCAGGGACAGGAGGTCTCAGAGGGCAAATTCAGCTCAGTGGCACTTTGGAGTCGGAAACGGAAAAGCCCCAGGGCCGAAGGACAGCTGCTTGGGTAGCAACTCAGAGGCAGGTGTGGAACCAGGGGCTGGCCGAGCCCAGCTGCCGTCTCGGTTTGCTGCTAAGATCCTTGACAGCAAACAGCAACCCAGCCAGCGGTGACGGGGCTCTATCCAGACAGGGTGACATTGACACCACAGGAGGGGGAGTCAGCCCACTGAGTCTGGGAGGTTCTTCCTAGAAACACTGAGCTCATGTTTTGCACCTACACGTTTTCAGTCTGAAGCCAGCTGAGTCATAAGCAAAGGTGTTTGTACGGTTAGCGGGGAGGAGACAGGAATTCAGAGACCTGCCTTCTCTGTTTCACAGTGTCGGGGAGGCAGGGGCCCCCCTTTGAGGTTTTGCCCCTCAGCTTGTAACACAGGACAGTGCTCCCCAGACCCCGGGAGGATGGATGCCCTCAAGGGGCTTTTCGGAGCATGTCCAGGCCTGCACACTTGCCCTTTGAGTCATGCAGCCCTCTGATGCTTTCCTCTGAACTTCTCAAACTAGAGGCGCGGTCAGTAAAAGCCACAGCAGCGACTTCACCTCCAAATCGATGAGCACGCCCCTGCACAGGCTAACTGTTCCCGTTCTGGGGGCGCGAAATCCTCCTCCTCTCGTCCGTGCGTCCCCGGTGCTCCCCTGGCCCACAGACAGCCGGGACAGCTGAGGGTGACTGTTGGCTGCGCATGTAGGGTAGGGCCGCCCCTCTGTGTCCTCGGCGTGGCCTGCCGAGATGGTGCGGCCCTCCTCCACTGTGGCTGTCGCCCAGCCCTGACCCTAACTGTGTGCTGGCAAAGAATGGAAATCCGGAAGGGTCTCCAGGGTAGAGCAGCCGAGAGTCTGAAGACAGAGGGATTCTCCTGATGCCCCTGCCCCCGGCCACGGACCCCAGCTGTGACGCCCGAGGGGGTGCCACTGCCCTCTGCGTGGTGCTGGAAGGCACGTGGGGCGATTGCTGGGGTCCCTGCTGCCCCCCCGCGGTCTCTCTTGTGGGTGTGGACAGAAGCCTGCTAGAGTGCTCAGTGCGGGACCTTAGCCTCGGCCCTCCTAACCTCTTTCCTTTCTCTCTCTCTTCCCTCTCTCTCCCTCCTCTCCCCCTCGCCTCCGCTCTTCAGGTCCGATCCGTACTGGGTGCAATGAAAGCTCCACGCAGGCCTTACCATGGAAGGCTGTGACTCGCCCGTCGTCTCGGGGAAGGACAATGGGTGCGGTATCCCTCAGCACCAGCAATGGACTGAACTCAACAGCACCCACCTCCCCGACAAACCCAGTAGCATGGAGCAGTCCCCAAGCGAGAACCACGGGCCCCTGGACAGCCTGAGGGCCCCTTTCAATGAGCGCCTCGCGGAGAGCACCGCCTCGGCCGGCCCCACCGCCGAGCCCGCCGGCAAAGAGGTCAGCTGCAACGAGTGCGCGGCCTCCTTCGCCAGCCTGCAGACCTACATGGAGCACCACTGCCCCAGCGCGCGCCCCCCGCCGCCCCTGAGGGAGGAGAGCGGGAGCGACACCAGCGAGGAGGGCGACGAGGAGAGCGACGTGGAGAACCTGGCTGGGGAGATAGTCTACCAGCCCGACGGCTCGGCGTACATCGTCGAGAGCCTGAGCCAGCTGACCCAGAGCGGCAGCGGGCCTCTCCCCTCGCTCTTTCTGAACTCTCTCCCCGGCGCGGGGGGCAAGCCGGGGGACCCTTCGTGTGCTGCACCCGTCTACCCACAGATCATCAACACTTTCCACATAGCCTCATCCTTCGGGAAGTGGTTCGAGGGCCCCGACCCGGCTTTCCCGAATACCTCAGCCCTGGCGGGGCTCAGCCCCGTCCTGCACAGCTTCCGCGTGTTCGACGTGCGACACAAAAGCAACAAGGATTACCTGAACAGCGACGGCTCTGCCAAAAGCTCCTGCGTATCCAAAGATGTCCCCAACAATGTGGACCTGTCCAAATTCGACGGCTTCGTGCTCTACGGCAAGAGGAAGCCCATCCTGATGTGCTTCTTGTGCAAGCTCTCCTTCGGGTACGTCCGTTCCTTCGTCACCCACGCGGTGCACGACCACCGCATGACCCTGAGCGAGGACGAGCGGAAAATTCTTAGCAATAAGAACATCTCCGCTATCATCCAAGGGATCGGCAAGGACAAGGAACCCCTCGTGAGTTTTCTGGAACCAAAAAACAAAACCTTTCAGCACCCCTTCGTTTCCACAGCTAACCTCATAGGCCCCGGACACAGTTTTTACGGTAAATTCAGCGGCATTCGGATGGAAGGCGGGGAGGAGGCCCTCCCGGCCGGCC